TTCCCCTTGCGTAACCGACTCCCGAATCCAGGATTTGGTTGCGATGACCATTCCTTTCCCGTCTTTGCGGTAGGTTTACTTCGAGCGTTTCCTTTCCCTCCTTTGGGATAAATAACGCACGGTGGCGACTCTTCTGTTCATCCGGCGCCGATTTTCGCAGTAGCGACAACTGGCGACTCTGCTGGGGACTCCAACGGTTCCCTACGCGAGTCAATCCTAGCGCTTGTTTTCCCGTCGTGGATTTTGTATGGATTTAAGTTTCTGTATTTTACATTCAGAATTATATTATTGTGATTATTGCTGTGGGTATGAGGGGGTTCTATGATTGAGAGATAAGCCGGACCCGGGCTTGAGTGCACCTAGAATTAGAGTGGAAATTAGTGGGCGCGTGCATGCTTTGCATGTACTAGTGTCTCATGAAATCCACGCTCGGACGAGGTTCTTCTGGTTGACTTCTTTTTCAACCCTTTGGGTTGAGGGGGTCGTTGGTTAGTTGGATTGTCGACTCCGGGGACCGATCATTTGGAAGTTAGCTAAGTGAGGCCTCTTCAGGACATGATGATGCCACACCTTCTGGGTATCGTATCATCAGTCTTGAAAGTCTGTGACGCCAACGACCGCATAGGATGCCATACCTTGTGTCAGTTATTAGGACACCTACCTGTGAGAGGGGTTGGGGCATGCAGGTAACTTGACCTCCAGATTACCGGTTTTCTTGATTGAGATTCAGTGGCGTTGATATTTGAGGACATTGTTATTGAGTCTGTTGAAGACCAGGTTGGAGTATTGTTTTGGTTTGTTGAGACCAGACTTGAGCAGTGTTATGGGCCTGGTTAAGACCAGTATGGTGGATTCTTCTCAGCAGCACACTTGGTCCCTTGTGTGTGCATTTTGCATTTTGTATGACTGTTTGCATTTGCATTTCATTTTGCATATTCATCCTCAGCCGGAACAGGGAGCTTACCCGTTTTTGTCCGCTTCGCCAGTTGATTTCCCGACATTCGCATTAGACTTGAGTTAGCATCTGGAAAGATCATGGCTTCAGGAGAGCAGAACTTGGTTGTTACTCGGGCGGAGTTTGAATTGCTGAAATACCAGGTGAGTCAGGTCATGGAAGCCATAACAGCTATAAATGGAGAAGGAAACAATGGTCAAAGAGCTCAGATGAACAATGTTGCTCAGCCCGTGCAAACCCCTGTCAGAGGTCCATATTCTTTCAATGACGCAGAGTGTCACAATTCCACTTTCTCTACGCCAGATTCTCCAAGGATTGTTCCATCTCCAAGAGTTGTTCCGCAGGTTAATATTCAGGATCCAAGGACTGCTGAGTATATGAGAAGACTTCAGACGTTGGAAGATCAGATTGCTGCCCTGGTGAATAAGAATACTCTGGATCTGAATGCTGCGGGCATGTGTTTGGTGTCGGGTCTTGTATTGCCTCCGAAGTTCAAGATGCCCAATTTTGAGAAGTACAAAGGGGATAGTTGTCCGAAGCTACATCTGGTTATGTTCTGCAGAAGAATGACTTCACATATCACCAATGACAAGCTCATGATTCATTGCTTCCAAGATAGTTTGATCGGAGCGTCTTTGGACTGGTACATGCACTTGAAGAGTGATAGCATTAAATCATGGTCAGACTTAGCCAATGCCTTCGTGAAGCAGTACGACTACAATCTAGAAATGGCTCCTTTTCGCGTGTATTTGCAAGAATTATCTCGTGCGGAGAATGAATCCTTTAGGGGGTATGTGCAAAGATGGAGAGAGTTGGTTGCTCGCGTTCAACCACCGATTTAGGAGAGAGAAATGGTTAGCCTCTTTTTGGGTACTCTGAAGGGCCGTTATTACGACATGATGTTCACTTGTACAAGCTTTGAGGGCTTGATGAGAATGGGGGAGCTTGTGGAGAGAGGACTCAAGAATGGAAAGATTCGAGAGGCTCCTTATATCCCAGTTGATAAGAATGAATCAGTTATCAGTTCTTAAGAGGAGTGGGAAGAAGGAAGCGATGTTGTCTCAAGAGGAGTGGAAAGATGAAGTTGGAACACTACATAACTGAGAATCAGAGTGCAGATATCATGACGAAGGGAGTGCAGGTCGAAGCCTTCTGAAGACTAAGAGCCATGATGAATGTAGATAGTTTAGACACAATGAATTAGGTGGTGTGTTAAATATAATTCATTGTTTTGATTTGATTTGATATGATTTAGATTAGATTTGATTATTGAATATTTTAGGTCTTTTATGCTTTGGGCTTTTGTAAACCTAAAACTATAAATAGGGTGCCTTGCTTTGTATTCAATAATAACATAGAACAGATTTCATAGTTGCAGTTAGCAAGTGAAAGTTCTATAAGCAATCAGAAATTCCACAGTTGTGGGTAACACAATTTCTCCAATATTTCTTCTCTCATTCTTCCTTTTCTTGCTTGTTTGTTATTCTTCTTCTTTTTTGTTGTTTTTGATAATTACTTGTTATTACCATTATTATCATATTGTGGGTTTGTTCATCAATCTTGAGATCAAGATTGAAGGGAATTTCTCATAGGGTGTGAGGCGAATTTCCAACCATCGCTTAACAAAATTTTATCAAAATTTTAATATCTTCCGAGATCGACAAGTAATCACGGATTAGTGTTAAAGAATTCAAACAAATTGTTATAGTTATTCAAGATTTAATATCATCCAAATATTATATTTTTATATTCTATTAGAGACAAGATTATTTAGTTGAAAAGGTTGGGGGAATCTACATTTTTACAGTAGTAACGAAAAATATGAAAAACTATATCCGTTTCAATCACATTAAAATCTCATTGAGATTAACATGATTAATCTCATTATTTAGACACTGCTCAAAGAGTAAGGTACTATATCAACGTTATGTTATGTTAGATAGGTGATTCAAATGCCTTATAAATACGAGTTTTATTAATTATGGACCGCACACGTGTTTGTGCAAGTAGTTTGGAGCACTAAGAGGTAGCAGCATCCCCTGCATGCAATACAAAAAACGTTAATTAAGCGTGAACTAAACACACAGTAAACAAGATACACAAGTTCAGAAAATGTAGCAATCAACTTAATTACGATTGAAACACTATGTGACAGCCTACTTTTTTTTACCAAATCATGTCTTTGAAATGATTGAATATTTAACCATCTCACGGCTACAATCCCCTAACAATTCTTAGCAAATAAATTGAAGATTCAACCACACAAGAGTTTAAATTCATAGATATATTAATTTTTACTAATATATGTTTAAAGTTACTCATCGCTAGTAAATTATTTATTCAATGCTAGGCTCCTTGTTAAAGTTATTCAAGGATAATGAATTTAATTAGATATCTTCTTAAAAAGTTTTCTGTGTGAGTTAATTAAAATTTTAGGTGGTGCAGTAGTCTTAAACGTACGGATGAGTATGAAACCGCCCTTGAGGTGTCTAGGACTTTTTATCAAGAAAAAGTAGGACATATCAGACTTGCATATGGCTTTAAAACCTACGTTATTTCTGATTATCTTAGACTCACCCGAACCCAATAGTTACACAAAGATTGCATGAGCATGCCTCTCACTTAGGAATGGTCAATGAATACTATGTTCTTTATTCATTTCTCATACACTGGACTTAATTTATCAGCTTTCGTTCAACTACGATCCATAATAAATTATAAAATTTATATCAAAAGACTATTGTGAATGACACACTAATGTTACACATACAACATACTCATATGTTTATCTGCATATTCATAGTCATAAAATCTAAATAAAACATGAACAATACACATTACAATGTCAACCGTAGTTAAATATGACACATATAATAACGATTGATAAAAACAACCGTAGTAAATTATTTTTCAATTTTTATTTAACAGTATAACTTAAAAGGCACGCGTTTTTTTACAGAAAAATGAGAAAATATTGATGTACTGAGATTCGAAACTTGTAACCCTTAATCTATCAACACAAATACTATTATGAACCGTGATGAAAAGTAATTTAATAAAATAAAAAATAATCAGGCGCGTAAAAATAAGATATTACTACCGTTGGCACAATGGGCGTAGTAAATGTTACCAAAAATATATTTCATAGTAGTGTTTGCTTTTAATCACGATATAGCTTCAAAAAGAATTAACACTGTCTTTAATAATCGAACATTTGCTCAACTTTTAACCCTACCAATAGCGTATCATCAGCAAATTATAAATGAGAAACAATAACAAATTTTGCTTCCCCGCCCCATATCATGTATACATTTCTTTTTCCACTAAAACATTCATCACAACATGTAAGCCTTCTGCTGTTATTTAAAAGAGAAAAGGGAAAAGTGAGTCACTTTGACGAAGACATCTTTCCATCTTAAACTCATCGGTTGGACTCTCATTCACAAATATAAAAACTATAACCGTAGTAATACACTCTAATATCCACTTTCACCACATAGTCGAAAAATTTATTTTACCAGTAACGTATTTCAAATACCACCAATCCCCTGAATCATAGACTTTTCCAAAATCAATTTTAAATAATAATAATTATTTATTTCCCTTTTTTTTAAATTTTATGTCTATATTTATTATATGGATATAGATCGAATGATTTTGTTCAATTAATTTAATATTCTGAATAAAATTTTGAGATTCGTAGGATTTGAGGAATTTAATGGGAGATATCCACCTATTCCTATTTTTCCTCGACTTAGTTTACCTATTTTTCCTCGACTTAGGTTACCTAAAAATTAGCTAAATTGGTTCCATATATATACACAATGAGCAATGCCTCATGGTTGTGCTTTCCGTTCATCAGTAACAACAAGTCTCATCCCAATCCCAACCAAGTATGTTTTACGATTTTTATATTATGTTTGACATATGATTGTAAATAACATGATACGAAATTCATCATACTCTCTTTTTTAATATATAAATTGTTTTGGAATGTCTATATTTCAGGTGAATTGTGATCTTTTTGAACCCTAATACAAGTAATATGGTTGATTACATTAGTGAATTGCCGGACGATGTCCTATCTTATATCTTAACAAGGATATCAATGAAAGATTTGTTGAAAACCAGTGTATTATCTAAACGGTGGTGCGAGCTTTGGACTCTAAGAAAAGATCTCCATTTTGATATTTTCAATGTGTTTGGAGAGACTGAGGAAGAACTGGTACAAACCGGGTATGTCATTGATGTTCCAGATGGTCCTACTATGAAGACACTTGCTAATTTGAATACAACTAGAGATGAATTTGTAAAACGAGTTGATCAATTTGTTAACAACTTTCATGGTACAAAGATAGCTTCTTTCTTTGTAAACTTCTATTTGAATTCTGACCAAAGCACGATTATTGATCGATGGATAACTTTTGCAATTGCAAGGGAAGTAGAAATAATCGATCTACTCTTTCTAGGGTTGCCATATGCACGAAATCATCTACGCAAGTTTTATAAATTTCCCTTTCATTTACTTTTGGAGACTAATACTTCAACTCTAAAGCATTTGAGTCTTGAAGGTTGTCTTATTTGCAATCCGACTAACTATGACTTCCGCCCGTTAAAAAACTTGAGATTTCTTTCACTCAATACAGTAAAATTGGATGAAATCTTCATTGAAAATCTCTTATTCAACTGTGGTTTTCTTGAAGAGCTTCACTTACTTTCCTGTTGTTTTCAAGCATCAATGCCCAAGATAATAAGTTCATCGTTATTAAAACTTAAGATTATAGACGTCTATATCGTACCCAACATCGGAATGGTGGATATAGACTTGACTTTATTGGATTGCCCTAAACTAAATTCATTGGATTACCTTGGACATGGCTTGGGTACCATGAGCATTAATACCCCTATGTTGAAATACATTAACTTCCCTATTAACTTCCCTATTCGAGATGAAGAACATTTGAACACATTTTCTCTCTGTGCAACTTTTCTTCAACTTGAAACTATGCGTGTAGACATAACATCAACGGTGAGTCAGTTTATTATTTTTTATTTTTTTTGCCTTTTGAAATATACTTTGAATCTTACATGTTTTTATTCAGGTCATAGCTTCCCTAAATATAAATCAACCATTCAAACATCTTAAAGAGTTGAACCTCATTCTTTTATTGAATTTTGACATTCCAATGAATGTGAATTATGACCTTTTGTGGATTTCAAACCTCCTTCAAGCTTCTCCACTTTTGCAGAAACTTTCAGCCATGGTAAGTGAACATAATTACTTCACATGTTTTGTTTTTTAACTATATATTTTCTAGTTTTTATTATCATTCATGTTTTGATTTTAATTTTGTCAGTTTACATACCCGGAGTTCCTTGAAAAGCAGAAAGATATTAGGGATATTGAAATATTTCATGACGAGATCAAAGTTATTGAATTTCGAGGGTTTCTTGGCAATTGGTTTGAAATTGAATTTGTTATAAATGTCCTAAAATATGTTGAAAAGCTTGAGCAAATAGTTTTGACTCCATGTTGGAAGGAAGATGACTCCATGGAAGAATGGATTTCTGATCCTGTGTGTTTTCAAAGTGCACGTGAAAGAATTAGTGAAAAGCTTCAGGGTGAACAAGTTCTGAGACCAGAAAAACTTGTACTCCTATAACATTGTATAGTTTTTGTGTTTTTTTAGTACTAGTTTATATATTGTTATTAACATTGCCCATAACTTTACTACTTATTTTAGTTTAAAATTCATCCCATGTCCATATATTCAATGAAAACAATTTAAATTTGGATTTAATTTTGTTATTAAGATATAACTTATAATTAATAATTTTTTATAATCCTCATTTATATTTAATTTTATAGAATTTCTTTACATTGAGTTTTAAAAAAAATACAGAAATCCTTGATGCTAGATTTGGAGGTGATAGCTGCTTGTATGTTTGTTTATTATTCACGTTATATCCTTGTCTTCTTTATTGAATCTTTGCACATTAGAATTCCATTGGATCGCAAGATACCTATTGTAAACGCAGATCCAAACAAAGTCTTATACATTATGAGAATAGAACATAGGCATTCTGTTACATATTTGATGCGTATCAAAATCAACACAAAACAGAACAAAAAATACATGTGAAGTTGGCATTTATGCTGTTGCTTTCTCTCAAAATAAATACATGTGAAGTTGGCATTTATGCTGTTGCTTTCTCTCAAAATAGTTGGACGATGGGTCTGTTGCTCAAAGAGCACCCAAAATGGGACCAACCCAAGGATAAAATCTCATACTATAGTTAGATTTTCGGATTAGGCTACATTTAGTTCAAATTTTATTTTATTATTTATACTATAAGAGCATATATCCTTTAATATTGGACCACTCATTAATGTATGGTTCTGGATATTAAGATATGAAATAATAAAATTATTTTTTTTACATCACACATCCTAACAAATTTCTCTTAAGAAAGCAACGTTATATTACTTTTGCTATTTCTCGATCACACCTCCTAACAAATTCTCCTAACTACAAGAGCAACGTTATATTACAGCATAAGGTAACATGTGTTTAAGTCCATATTATATGGAATGGTGTGTTTAAAGGAGCTTGTTAAAGGTGCACTTCACACAAGTGATTTTGAAAACCAGAACTCTTATTCTGAAAGTATCTCTCTCTCATATTTTGAAATGATGGCACAACATCTTAAAATTGTTGTTTTTTAATTTTGAAAATAATTAAAGAAGAAGTTACCGGTGAGTCGAGGAATAGTTCGCTCTCTTTAAAATGTTTTGCGGTATTATCTAAAATTATGCAAAGCAGTCAAACTACCACGACGCCTCCAGGATAAAACAATTCAGTTATATACTTTACGATTACTACTTGCACGATAGATAATCGATCTAGAAATACACTCTCTGATGATACAAAGACCATTATAAATGTCACTCATAGTATATGGTATAACGGTCAGTCATAATAATTTCTCAAACCAAAAGAAATTCTAATAATTCTCCAAAGAGAATTCAATAATGGTTAAAATCAATAATTTCTCAAACAAGAGAATCCAAAAATCAATACTTGTAATTTCTCAACCCAAACGAGGAGAAATTAACATAATTCTCAAATGATAATTCAAGAAAATACTCGAAAAATTCGACGAGTAGAAAGAAAGGGGGAGAAGTTGGCGCTTCGATAATTTGAAAGACGCAGAGTTATTAGAGTGAGGAAGGAAAACTCAACAAAAGGAATTTTTGATGTGTTTTGATATCAAATAAGGAATTTCCTTATATAATAAGGCAATTCCACATAACTCGCAGTTTGGAGCTACAGCGGCTACGGTTGCGGGTGGCGTTACGGTTAAATTGTCGATCTTTTGCGTTAAGACATCTACCTTATCATTGAATTTTTCAAGACTACTGATCTCGTACATCCCACCTTTCGCTGCGGGTTTCTCGGTTGGAGTTCTTTCACCTCCCCATTGGCAATGGTTCTGAGACATGTTTTCGATAAGTTGATAGGCTTCGTCGTATGGCTTATCCATAAGTGCACCGCCTGCGGCGGCATTTACTGTCAATCTGGTGTTGTACAAAAGCCCATTGTATAAAGTATGAATAGTCACTCAGTTTTCAAGACCGTGGTGAGGGCATGCTCTCATCATATCTTTGAATCTTTCCCATGATTCGCAGAGAGATTCGACATCCTTCTGTCGAAATCCGTTAATTTGAGCTCTTAGCATAGCGGTTTTGCTTGACTATCATGAGCGAACCAAGCACATTAATGTGAGGTTGCATTTCATCAGAGGGGTAATCGAGCGTGGAGAAGTCCAAGTGCTGAAAGTTTCGACAGATCATAATGTTGCTGATATGATCACTAAAATGTTGCCCAGTGACAAGTTTTTCCACTGTATGCAGTTGATAAAGTTGCATGAAGAAAGCTAGTTTCTTGATGTTATAGAGTTAGATCCAAGGTGGAGATTTGTGAGATGTTGGATCGAACTCTAGTATGGTCGAAGTCTGTTCGTGAGTAATGCGTGTTGTAGTCGAAGTTTGTTCTAACATGCATTAGTTAATATTGCTAGGGTTGTTAGCATGTTGAATTGGACCTTACTTATAAGTCCAATTGTCTAAGTTAGTTTGTACCCTAAATTAGCTTGTAATGGGTAATTGTTAAAAAACCCATTAGGTTATTGTGCTATTTTTCTTATAAATAGGATACTAGTTTCTCAATCTTGGTATAAGGAAAAATAGGAAGATAAAATCCTAATTTCAAGAGAGAGGTTATTTTGTTATTCTTGTATACTTGTAATCTTGTTCTAAGAGAAAGGAAAAAATAGCAGTCGATTCGCAACACCTATTTTTCTTCGACTTAGTTTACCTATTTTTCCTTAGCTAAATTGGTTCCATATATATGCACAATGAGCAATGCCTCATGGTTGTGTTTTCCGTTCATCAGTAACAAGTCTCATCCCAATCCCAACCAAGTATGTTTTACGATTTTTATATTATGTTTGACATATGATTGTAAATAACATGATACGAAATTCATCATACTCTCTTTTTTAATATATAAATTGTTTTGGAATGTCTATATTTCAGGTGAATTGTGATCTTTTTGAACCCTAATACAAGTAATATGGTTGATTACATTAGTGAATTGCCAGACGATGTCCTATTTTATAGAATTACCATACAAAAAAATACAGAAATCCTTGATGCTATACGTAAAGCAAGCAGATTTGGAGGTGATAGCTGCTTGTATGTTTGTTTATTATTCACGTTATATCCTTGTCTTCTTTATTGAATCTTTGCACATTAGAATTTCATTGAATCGGATACCCATTGATTTATACATTTATGTTTATATTTACTTAAGCATTTATGTGATATATAGGGTTTGATGTTACTTTAGTCAAACTATATTTAGGATCCATCTATTTGAAAGTTTTTCTTTTTTAACATTTGTTCATCTCCTCCCAACAATGTTCATCGATTTTAATAACTTCTCATTTATATAAAATTTGAAAATCACTAAATCAATGAATTAAATTACAAATTGTACACCGTTGGGCTCAGATTTTCGCAACGAGTCCAAATATACAATCAAAATTAGAAAACAAGCTACGAATTGGAAGATACGAAGCTAAAAAGTGGCGCCCAACCATGAGGAAAATCGTTCGATCTGACCAAAATACACATTTAAACGTAAAACTAATTATATATTAGTGATCAATGCAAAAAAATAGTTCAAATGGTATATAAGTTTGCACAAAATAGTTGAGATTCATGATTTTTCCATTTTTGTGTTCTTGAGTTCATGAGAACTTTTGAATCAATTTTTTTGAAAATTCAATTTAAATGTGTTTTCATGCAACTAATGATTGAAATAAGTTTCTTAAACATCTATAAACATCATAACACACAAAAAACACAGGAAAATTGAATATTAGGCTTTATTTGAATGAAAACCTCAAGAACTTACCAGCAATAATGATGGACACGGTGACTCTCTAATCATACTCCGATGAAGGTCCAAACAAGCTTCGAGTTCAGAAATATTTGTAGATTTAGAATCCTCTCAACATCCTCTACTCAAATTCAAGATCCAATAAATTTCAAAAATCAAGCTCAAAATTGAGCTAAACCTTTGATCTTGATTTGAACTACTTTGGTTGCTGATTTGTGTAGGTAATGGCTATGTAAATTAAATGCAATGAAAGTGAAAACACAATTACTCAAGAACTCAAAAGAATTAATGAAAATTCAAAGTTTCTTAAAAGTGAAGAAACTTAAATTTTGGGAATTCAAATTGGTAGAGTTTTGGCAATTGTAATAGTGAGTTGTGGATAATTTTCTGATGTGAAAATGCACTATTATATAGAGTTAGAATTAGATTAAGAGTTAAGCTTGAGATTTTGCAAAAATAAGAAAAGTGTGATTGTGTTTCACTTGAATTTGATAGAATTTGTGGGAAATTTGAATTTGATGCAAAATATCTGATGTAATGCACTCTAAACTATTGATACATTGTGAATTTAGTGCGAATTTGAAGGTGTGTTAGGTGCATGAGTGGTTTGGTAAAACAAGTGTGATTTATTTTGTATTTAGTGTCAAAATCTTGACTTTTTGTTTAGTTTTTTTTATTTATGATGCATGTAAATAATTAACAACACTATGCCAAAAAAGACCTTTAGCAGCGCTTTTTTTGGCCTTTAGCAGCGCTGCAAAAAGTGGCGCTGCTAAAGGTAAAGGCAGCGTTTTTTTTCAATGAAAAAGCGCTGCTAAAAGCTCCCTTAAGCAGCACCTTTAGCAACGTTTTTTTAGCCCTTTAGCAGCGCTTTTGTAAGCGCTGCATAATTCCCCCAACCATCCCCCCTTTAGCAGCGCTTTTGCAAAAGCGCTGCCATAGCCCACCCTTTAGCAGCGCTTTTTACAAGCGCTGCCTTAGACCCCCCCCCCTTCCAAACCAATAGCAGCGCTTTTGTAGCGTAATATTTGTGACATTTAGCAGCGCTTTTATGTAAAAGCGTTGTTTAATGTCCTAGATTTTAAAATTTTTTTTTTATAAAATATTCACCCTGTTTTGTATATTTTACCAACAACCTGCTTATATTACACAAACCTGCTTATAATTAAGGCCTTTATTTCAGCACTTTGGCCTTA